CATCCTATCTCCATACCTTTTCAACCTATATGCAGAACTCTTTTCTTTTGTGTCTAGCTATTGTAAATGGTATTGCTTTCTTATTTTCCTTATATGTGTTTTTCTTTGTTACTGTAGAGGAATCTTACTGACTTTTATATATTAATCTTGTATCCTGCCACTCTACTAAATTGGTCGACAAGCTTTAGGGTTTGTTTTTTTTTTGTTTGTCTAGTCCTTGCGGTTTTCTGTATTTACTTAAATCTGCATATAGTGTTATGTCACAGCTCTTATTTCTCTAAGATGCGTATCTCTTGTTGCTAGGTGCCATCAAGTCGAGTATGATAGCAATCCTGTGAATAACCAGTCTGAACCTTGTCCTATCCTGTCCCTTACTCACAATATGTGACATACCCAAGCCTACTGCTGCAGTCACTGTGTCAATAAATCTCGCATTTAGGAGTATAATTTCTGGATCATACACTATTTCTAGTTCTGCCTTTTTAAAAAAGAACCCTACTGTCTTCCATAGTGGCTGCACTATTCTGCAGTCCCACTAGGAGTATGTAAGAATTCCAACTAGGATTTTGATGGTTCTGCCCCCTTGTGGCATTCTCATCCTCCTAACCTGTCGCCCTCTGCTCATCAGGTCCCACTCCATAAGTATGACAAGTGAGAGCTCCAAAAAGTCCTTTGAAGAGGTGCTAGGCCCAGGATAGAAAGTCCATTTCTCCTCCCTGCCCCCTCTGCCTACCCAGCTTTTGTCTGATCTAAGGAATGATCCAGATTTTAATGGAAATTGCTCATGCTCTCAAAAGAGACACAGAAATTAACTTGAGAGAGTCTATAAAGTGTTAAAGTTAATCTGTGGGGTAGCTATAAAAAGGCCCATCATGGTGATAAAGGATTCCTCCCTTTCCACTTGCCTGTAAAACAATGCAGGGAACTCGTGGTACCCAGGATTCTTCAAAAGGTAAAATGTGGTCTCATTTTATCACATATCTGGGCTCTACAATTCTTTATTACAACTGTCTAATCATTACTCCTAGGAAATGTCTACTTGTTGTCGTCAGTGTTCCTATTTCTCTCACATTTTCATTTCTTTTCTCCTTGTTACTTTCCTCTACATATTATTGTGTGCTTGTTTTGTGCTGTGGTAAAAATACATATAACACGATATTCACCAACTTAATGTTTTTGTACAATAAATTTTTTAACTCTTTTTTTTTCAGTGAAAATGTACAAATTATAGTGCATTTTAATTAAATCATTAATAGATCATTTGTTTTATAACATTTAATTAAAATTGATTGATGTAATTAATTATAATGTCTAATCAAAACCTTTATTGTATAATGCCTTTCCCCTCAATTTATCTGTTTATTATTTTGTTTCAATTGCAAGTGGGTTGTGCAACCATCACCAATATCCGTTACGAAGTTTTCTGTTACTATAAACAGAAACTTACTGCTTACCAAACAGACATTTCCTCCTCCACTCTACCACTCTCACCCCTGGTAACCACTAGTAAACTCTGATCTCTTGAAAAAATATACCAAAACCTCGTAGTTCCTTTGGTCTACATGTTTTCCTTTTGTTGTTAGGTACCATTTGAGTTTGACTCATAGCAACCCTATGAACAGCAACAGATGTGAACCCTGTCCTGTCCTGTGCCATCTTCACAATGTCTGACAAGCCCATTGCTGCAGTCACTGTGTCAGTCCACCTGGCTGAGGGTCTTTCTTTCTTTTGCCATCCCTCTACCTTTCCAAGCATGATGTCCCTCTCTAAGGAATAGCCTTTCCTAGCAACATGCCCAAAATATTTGAGACAAAGCTTTATCATCTTTGCCTTCAAGGAACATTGTAGCTGCACTTTTTCTATGACATATCTGTTTATTCTTTTGGCTGTCAAAGAGATACTCAGTACTCTTCTCCAACACCACAGCTCAGAGGCATGGACACTTCTTCTCTCATCCTTATTCATTGTCCAGCTGTCAGATGCATTGCAAATGATTGAAAAGACCATGGCCTGATTTAAGCACACCTTAGTCCTCAAACTGACATCATTGCTTCTCAGTAATTAACGTAGTAGATCATACAGTGTCCATCCATTTGCACCCAAGTTGCCTCACTGAGTGTAATATAGTCATAGCTCACCCACTAGATAGCAGAGGGCAGGAGTTCATTTCTTCTTATGACTGAGTGGTATCCCATTGCGTGCACATACCACAGTTGTCCATTCATTTATTGATGGCCTCCTGAGCTCTTTTTACCCTGCACTTTGCTCCATTTTTGTTTCTTGTGTGCTCACCCACATCCTCTCCTCCCTTGCTCCCCCAGGGAAGTCCTACACCATGATTGGGAAGGACGACTCCATGCAGAACCTTGGCATCATCCCCTGTGCTATCTCCTGGCTCTTCAAGCTGATAAACGAACGGAAGGAGAAGACTGGTGCCCGCTTCTCAGTCCGCATCTCAGCCGTGGAGGTGTCAGGGAAAGAGGAGAACCTCCGAGACCTGCTGTCCGAGGTGGCCACCGGCAGCCTGCAGGATGGCCAGTCCCCAGGGGTGTACCTCTGTGAGGACCCCATCTGTGGCATGCAGGTGAGTGATCCCAGAGCAAGCCTGTGGCCTTCCAGCCTGTGAATCACTCAGCTGCACTGGGAGGCCTGCGGGTGTTTACTTTAAAGTGGCCTGCAACTTTATGGCCTGCAGCTGTGGGGCCATCTGCTCAGACCAGCCTAAATATTTGTACCTTGAATCTAATTGACAATGAGCAGGAACCACAATTGTAGCATTTGGGGGCAGGAAGGAGATGGAATTAACCTTTTTTTTTAAACACCTCTTTAAAAACAAAGTACAGTCTTTCTTTTGTTTAACAACAAACTGAAATACTTACTACTTTGCACAAATAGCTCCATTCATTTCTGTGGCTGTTTATGGCTCTATAAACTGTGTTTCTGGCACTGGATTAGTAGGGCTGTAGGAAAAACTAATAACCACTTTCTAATTAGGCCCAGCATATAATTGCTAGGACTGTGGAAGCCAAGAGAAGCGCCAGTGTGGGACGCCATCCTGTGGGGAGGGTTCACCCTTGCTTTCTGATGGCAGATAGAGGAATGTTGCGGGAGTGCCCTCGTCCTATGCACAATCAGCAGTTCACCCTAGTCTCTAGTTGTTATATGCTGTTGAATCTGTATAGAGATTGCCCATCTTTTTCCCATGGAGCAGCGGGTGGATTCAAACCTCCTGCCTTTGGATTGACGGTGCACTAGGCTCTGATACTAGGCTTTATTTTTAAGTGTTAGCAGAAGTCCCTCCTTTTTTTTTTAAGATGGATGTTTGACAGGAGTCTCTGAATGCTGCAAATGGTTCTTGGGCTCAAATGCTAGCCAGAAGTTTGGAGGTTCACATCTATCCCTAAGTATTTAGAAAGAAAGCAAGATGTAGCAGTGTCCTACAGAAAAATCAATCCCTGATTCCTCTCTGGAGCACCATCTCCTCAGACCACACAGGGTCCACCAGGAATCCAAGTCAACTGGATAGTAGCTGGGGGTTTTGGGTTCCTTTTTGACAGTTGGGATTGCTTTCTAGTGAATATATGCCCATGGCCTCTGCTGTTGATGTTTGCCATCAATTTGGTACCAAATCATAGCTGCCCCTCTAGAGGGTAAATTACACTGGAGGAGATTGCTCATCCTGCTTCCCTGGAACAGCTGGTGGATTCAAACTAAGTGCCTTTGAGATTGCACCACAGCTTCTTACCAGTAGGCCCCAAGAGCTCCTTTTAAAAGTCCTAATTTACTGAAGGCTAAAATGTAGTCAAAGAAGAAACCAACACTCACTTTCATTCTCTGGTTTAAAAATCTTAAAATGTTTTCATTTACTTTTCTGCTGTATGTACCAGACCGTGGACACAGCAAAATCTCTTTGAAGTTTAAGGATTTTGATGGTTGCATTTTCTAAAATACGAGCTCTCCAAGCAGTTCAGAATTCTAGACAGAGATCGTTCAAAGCCTAGGAAATTGTCAGAATTTGTGCTGACCCCAGTGCATGCTGTGAGTCAGTTCTTAGAGCAAATCCAAAATAGAGGTTGGATTTCCTCCTAGCGCAAGTGTACAGGATGCATTCTGATTGTTCTGATTCAGATTCACAGGGATCACAGTAAAACTGTCTGCCCTGCCCACTTTAATCACAGTGAGTATGACTTGAGTGTGAATTGAAGAACTGAAGAGAAAAAAACAAATTCAAGCCCAAACCAAACCCACTGCAGACTCCTACCAACCCTGCAGGACAGAGAAAAACTGCTCCCCAGGCTTTCCAAGATGTGATCTTTACAGAAGCAGATTGCCACCTCTTCCTCCTGCTGAGAGGCTAATGGCTTCCAACTGCTGCCATTTCCCTTGGCAGCCAAGTGCTTTAAGCACTGTGCCATCAGAGCTCCTGCAGATGAAGATAGAAATCCCCTAGATGACCTGGCTAAAGCAGTCAGCTATCTCCAGCACTGAGTGTACCCCTCCTGTTCCCTTCTCTGTGAGCATGATGCTAGTCAGTGTGGTCTAAGATTGCTTCAGTTCAACAGGCGGAAAAGATAATAGGTGAAAAGCCCCCAGGTCTTTGGAGAATACCAGTCCTGTCAGGTGAGATGTTCTGCACCCTACCTAGAGGCTGTCCCCTACCAGCCTCATCTTTGAGATCAAGCCGCACTCACATCCCTCATGCTCTTGTGGGTAAATGGACAGCCTCGGGTGTTGCTCTGCAAACATGGACCTTCTGCCTCCTTGATTGACCAGATACATCATTTGCTTTCCACACCTGCTATTTATAGATTCTCTTGGAGTTGTAAATTATGCTTCACTCGGTGAATATGCTCAATATTAATTTTCAGAATATGAGTAAGTGAGAATTGCATGGGAGTATGACATCTCAGTCCAAGCACTCGGGGGCTGAGAGGCTGGGCCTTTACTGTGTAGAAAGTCAACTAGTTGAGGAGAGATGCTGAAACGTGAGCTTGGGTGACAGAGGACACCTAGCTGAGGTGTTGCTACTGTCGAGTCAGAACTGACTCAGCTGACCCTGTAGCAAGTTTTCGGAGGTAGCAAATCACACAGGAGGAGATTGCTCATCTTTCTCCCACAGAGTAGCTGGTGGACTTGAGCATGTGTCTTTGGAATGGCAACACAGCTCTTTCCCACAGGGCCACCAGAGTTCCCTGCTAGTGGAGTACAGGTGTTGCAGGCTGGCCCTCTCCAGCCTGGTAGTCTTAGCTCTTGGCCTCTGTCTTCCAGCTGCAGAACCAGAGCGAGCTGCGGGCACCCACGGCCGAGAAGGCAGCCTTCTTCCTGGACGCTGCCATCGCCTCCCGCCGGAGCAGCCAGCAGGACTGTGACGAGGACGACCACCGCAACTCCCACATGCTCTTCACCCTTCATATCTACCAGTACCGGATGGAGAAGAGTGGGAAAGGGGGAAGTAAGTGGGCCAGGCTCTATGCCTGCTTCTCGTCAGCTCCCAGCAGATCCGCACCCAAGGCGGGCCTGGCCCTCTTTCCCTAGAGCTCCATTATGGCATCCCTGATTAGGAATGTGGCGACCTTGGGGGATATGGTGGGTGTACTCATGTGCTAGTCAGCATTTCCCCAGAGATGTCTCTGGGGATGAGGCCTGGTGGTTGATGATCAACTTCCAAACCCCAGCCTTTGAAAACCGGTGGAGTACAGGTCCCCGCTGTACTCCTGGGGCCACCGTGAGATGTACTCAGCTTGGTAGGGGCTGGTCACTTGTTCCAGACAAAAGGACAGAGTCTGAGCTGGCATTATGATTGGACTATCTGAAGGACAAGGGCTTTCTTGGTAAAAGGAAGCTTGTAAGTGGTAAAGGGTAAAGGAAGCCATGGGGTTTTGAGAAAATGTTGTTTGGTGCCATCAAGTTGAATACAACTTTTAGTGACCTGGTGAACAACATATCTGAACACTGTCCTATCCTGTGGCATCCTTGCCATCTCTGACACTCACAAGCCCGTTGCTGCAGTCATCTGGTCAACCCACCTAGTTAAGGGTCTTCTCTTTCACTGCTCCTCCATGTTCCCAAGCACAGTGTCCTTCCAATGAATAACCTCTCCAAACAACATGTCTAGAGTAAGTGAGGCAAAGCTTCGTGATCTTTGTCTCTAAGGAGCACCCTGGCTGCACTTTCTCCAAGACATATCTGCTTGTTCTTTTGACACTCTGAGGGGTTCTCAGCACTCTTCTCCAAAACCACTTTGGGTGAGGGAGAATACTTAATAGTCACTTTGAGAAACCCTAAAGGTAGACATTACAAAAGAACATCAAAGCACCCTGGCAGTGTATTTTTTTTCAGTAGTTAAAACAAGATGTTTCCTAAGACAGAGGAAAGTTTACAGAGTAAAGTTCATTAAGCAAGAGAAGTACTCTAAGAAAGACAGAAAGTTCCCATCTCAGGAGTAGAAAGGCTCTAAAGGACCAGTGATGCCTTATTTACCATTATCCTGAGTCTGTATGGGCTCAAAGGAAGTTAAGTTTCTTCAAAATAGTCTCTAAATTAGACTTTTGGATAACCTCAGAGAGATGCTGTCCTCAGATGGTGCACTCCAGTAGAGGTTCCCGTGAAAACCCAGCACAGCCCCTGCCCTATTAGCTAGTTACACTACTAGGAACCCACTGCTGTGGGTCTGGAATGTTCTGTCAAAGCTTGCCCTGCCCTTGACTCTGTGCTTAGTACTTTGTCAATCAAGTGATATACGCTAAGAGTATGGCAGGTGGGGACTCTTGGGCCATGAGCAAAAAGTGATCCCTTGACTTCATGAGTTTTCTAAATCTGGTTATGACTACAGAGGAGTGCTGGCCTGGCATCAGTTTCCATGGCCTCTCGAGTCTACCTCTGCAGTTATTTTAAAAGCATAGACAACTGCTTCCCATGCCAACCCCAGACCTTTCTGAATGATTGTCTTATAGACATTGAATACTAGGGAAAAAACTGAGCTATAAGCCCATCCATGTGTCTAGAAGTTATGGTGCCAACAACTAAAGTAGAGCCTAATTCTAGGTCAAGTTTGGGATGAAGTCATGCAGCCAGAGTCTGTGGACAGATTCCCCAGTTTCTCCTCCTGGAGAGTTCCACCGCCAGATACAAACTTTCCGTAGTATCCATTCTGGGGCCTCTCTTGACCTATCTCTGCCATGTTTCCTACTCTGCTTGTTTATTACTGGTGTCTAATTTAGGTTTATTGAGGTACAGTTTACATTTAGAAAAACGTAATCCTTTATATGTGTTGGTGCATGAGATTTATTGACACAGTGGCTGTAGCTGTAGGCTCAGGTGTATCAGAAATGATGCGGATGGCACAGGATAGGACACAGTTCAGATTTGTTATAAGGTCACTGTGACTTGTAGTCAACTTCAAGGAATCTCACACTAACAAACAATTGTGGGACTATTATTCCATCAGAATAGAGAATCAAGCTCTGGCCTTGCCCTTTATAATTAATCCCTCCCACCTCTCATCCATGGAAGCACAGATCTGATTTCTGTGATATATTTTTGCCTTTAATCCGGGATATCATATAAAAGTCATTCTAGGGCATGTAGCCTTCTGCACCTGGTTTCTTTCATCTGCAAAGTGTGTTGGAGCCTCTGCCCTGCTGTTGCATACTCACGCACTGGGATCTTTTTCTTGCTCCCTAGTATTTTCCTTCTGACTGGCCATTCTTTCAGCCCCTCCAGCTTTGAGTTCTCATGGTCTGTCTTGGCCTAGGGCTGCAGTCCCTCCATCCAAGGCCAGTCTTTATGACTCCAATCATCAGGTGCACCTTAGTATCTAGACTGACATCATTGACTTTCCTGATGCAATTTATCTTTTAATTTCCTGGCTGCTGGTACCAAGAGTATTGATTGTGGAGCCAAGCAAACTAAGGTTGTTAACAGTCTCAATCTCTTCACCATCTGTCATGATGTTGCCAATCGGTGAAGTCGTGAGAATCTTTGTTTTCTTTATGTTGAGCTTCAATCCATATTGAAGACTGTAGCCCTTGACCCTCCACAGCAAGCACTTCAGGTCCTCTTCAGTTTCAGTAAGCAGGGTTGTGTCATCTGCATAATGCATATTGTTGATGAGTCTTCCACCAATCCTGATGCTACATTTCTCCTCAAAGCCCAGCCTCCCAGATAATCTGTTCTGCATATAGATTGAAAAGATATGGAGAGAGGACACATCCCTGGCGTATGCCCTTCCCAATTTTGAACCATGCAGTGTTTCCTTGCTCTGTTCTGACTACTGCCTCCTAGTCCAAGTACAGGTTTCACATGAGCACAACCATTCTTCTCAGGGTCTGCCAGAGTTACAACAATAATATACTGGGTTCTTGGGCTTTATGCAAAAGGTGGTTCACAAAGTGATCTGAATCTTGAGCCACATAACTTCCAAATGGCCCTGGGCCAGAAAGCTTACCAGACAGACTCATCTCCTGCTTCCAGATCGTACAGTAAGCTGAAGACAATTTGGCTTTCCATTCTTTCTTCTTTGTAGATCCTCTTTCAGTTTGGAAGGTAAAAGTAGGGGGAAGGGAGAACACTTGAAAGTAAGGAAACAGCTAATTGAATTCCTTCAATTTGTTGTTATTGTTGTTTGTTGTTCAGTTGTTCCCAGCTAATGGTGACTCTGTGTACAAAAAGGCCACAGCTTTGCCTGGTCCTGCTGCATCCTCATAAATGTTGCTGAATTAAACTCTGTACACAGCCTTTGTGTTGATCTGTATTACTTTAGAGTTTGCCTCTTTTTTTACTATTCTCTCTGCTTTGCCAAGCACAGTGTCCTCCAAGAACTGGTCCCTCCTGATAATGTGTTCAAAGTGTGTGGTAGAAATAGCACCATCCTTATTTCTAAGGTGTATTCTGGCTGTACTTTTTTAAAGACAGATTTGTTTGATGTTTAGGGAGTCCATGGTATGTTTAGCATTCTTCACCAGCTCCATAGCTAAAATGGATCCGTCCTTTTCAGTCTCCTCTGTTCGTTGTACAGCTTTTGCATGCATAGGAGGCTATTAAAAATAACCAAGGTCTGAGTCAAGTACAACTAACTGATCCCTCAGAGTTACATCTTTGCTTTTCAGCATTTTAAAGAGGCATTTGCACATTTGTCCAATGCACTGTCCTTCTTGAATTCTTGACTGCTGCTTCTGTAGACGTGATTATGGATCTAAGTGAAAGAAATCTTTGACAACTTCAGTGATTTCTACAGTTATCATAATGTTGCTTATTGATCCAGTTGTGAAGATTTTTGTTTTATTTATGTTGCGACGTAATCCACACTGAACACTGTAGCACTTTGATAAAAGTGCTTCAAGTCTTCCTCGCTTTAAGCAAGTTATTTTTGCTGTATACAGTCACCTCAGAGCTGACCAGGTTTTCAGAGGTAGTAAATTGCACAAGAGGAGAATGCCCATCTTTCTCCCATGGTGCAGCTAGTGGATTTGAACTGTGTGCCTTTGCATCGGCACAATTGAACAATTGCATATTGTTAAAATGTCCTCTCATCCTGATGTTGTGTTTTTTTATGCAATCCAGCTTTTCATTATTTGCTCAACACACAGGGTGAATAAGTATAGTGAAAAGATACACCCTATTGTATTCTTCTTGATTTTTCAGTTGTGTAAGTGTACCCCTTGGACTGTTCAAATGTCTGCCTCTTGGGCTGTGTACAGGTTCCACATGAGCACAATTAAGTATTCTAGAATTTACATTCATCTCTAAAAATGTGAAGTTTTGTTACTGCAAAATTGGGTTAGGGGAACTTCCACCCATCCTCAACCCAATTTTCCATCTTATGTCCAACCACAAATGAATGGACTGAGTAATTATGATGCATCCACACAATGGAATACTATGCAGCACGCTGGAGCAATGATTTTGTAAATTATTACCTAACTTGGAGAGCATTATGCTGAGTGAACTAACTCAGTCCCATAAGGACAAATACTGTATGAAACCATTATTGTAGAATGAGTATAAGGACCCAAGGGGAGTGGGGGAGGGTAGAAGCAGAGGGATGAGGATGGGGGTGAAGGGATTGTTAATCATGTACAATTTGATGAGGGGGGGTGAGGGAAATTGGAAGACTCTGCTCTTGAAATCAATATATTAGAATTTTGTTAATAAAATAGTATTTTCTAAAAAGTACTCTTAAAAAATATTATCAACAAATCTTGGGTACTTATTAAATATTTACCTTCAAACTGATCTTATTTTTAAGCTGTTAATGGGAATTGTTTTTAAATCGTAAAATTGGTTAGAGGAATAAACAGATCTCTGTTAATGACCTTTAAGACTTCTTTCAGATGATTTCTAATGTGTCAGTAGATAAAAATAAAGACAGTGCATCTAGCCTATTGGTGATACCCAAGCCAAGCCTATGCCATTGAATTGATTCTGACTCATAGCAACATGGTAGCACAGAGT